GTAGAAAATATGTATAAGTATTTCTCTCCTACCTCTATGCCATCTATCACCTCTCTCTCTATCATTTATCTGTAACCTCTATCTCTCTCTCTCTCATCAATATCTACCTACCTTGGCTGGGCGCAGTGGCTCATCCCTGTAATCCCAGCACTTTGGGAAGCCCAGGCAGGTGGATCACTTGAGGTTGGGAGTTTGAGACCAGCCTGGCCAACATGGTGAAACCCGCTCTCTACTGAAAAACACAAAAATTAGCCAGGATTGATGGTGCATGTCTGTAGTTCCAGCTACTCAGGAAGGTGATCTGAGGTGGGAGAATCGCTGGAACCTGGGAGGCAGAGGTTGCAGTGAGCTGAGATCCGAGATCATGCCACTGCACTCAAGCCTGGACAACAGAGTGAATGAGACCCTGTCTCAAAAAAAAGTCAGTCTTCGAGCAGTGGTCACAGGAGGTATCTACTGTCCAGCGGCTTAGGAAGCAGTGGCGATGGCAGAGCCTGAGAGACATCTGCTGGACAGTGCTGTTTCCTAACCATATCCTGCTGGTCTAATTTTGGCTTTGGCTCTTCAAATCCAGACAGACTCAGCTCCCTGTTTATTGCCTGTTGGAATGGGCATTGCAGCCTATTCAATAGCCATGGCTTCCCCTTCCTCGTTGCTAACACAACCTTTTCTTTCTCTTTACTTTTCATGGGGGGTGCCCTAACCCTAGTTCCACGGCAGGTCTCGTCCAGTCAGGGCATGATCATCCCCTGGCAGGCTCTAACTCAAGATGGACCAATCAGACTGAGAGGAGGATTTATGTTCCACAGTTGGAAAAAATATTTTCCTCTCTTACCTGCTACACGTGAGCAAGAAAACTGCCACCCTGATTGTGACTGCAGCTATCCTTGTGGATCCTGTGACCAGGTGGCCACCCTTCTAAGGCTGACGTCAATGCTGCAGGCAGCAGTGGAGAGCGACAGAAAGATCCAGGACCCTTGACATCATGCACGTGGCTGAAATCAACCAGTCCTGACACCTTCCCTCCCAGATGCTTCCTTTACGTGCAAGAAGAGATTTCATTTTTATTTTTTTGTACAATGTGATTTTAAAAAACATTTTAACAATTTAAAAATATTATGGGTATATCATATTCATGTATATATTCATGAGGTACATGTGATGTTCTGATCACGTGTGTAATAATCACATCAGGGTAATTGGGGTGAAATTTTCTTTTTTATTTAAGTCAGTTCAAGTTGAGTTTTCTGTTTCTTATAGCAGAAAGTATCCTAATTGGTTTGCTTGTTTAGTTTAGTTTTGTTCCCGCAAGCCTGTTTCTCTGAAGTCGGCACTTTTTTTTTTTTTTGAGAGGCAAGGAGTCTAAGGCCAGCCTGGGCAACATAGCAAGACCCTGTCTCTACCAAAAAAATGAAAGATAGTTTTATGAAAAATAACTAATTTTCTAAAACAAAAATATTAGAGAGAAGCATGCCTTTCTTTAACATTTTTTTTTTTCAAATCTCTCTAATGTCTGGCTTAATAGAAAATAGATGGATTCTTATATCTGTTTTTGCATTCAATCTGTTGCAATTTGTTGTTTTGGTTGAAGAACATGAAGAAAATCTAGCCTTACCTAGAAAAGGCAGGAAAATGTTAGTAACCTTTTCAGGTAGTTGTGGACTTCTTCTTTGACAGTATACCAAAATTTGCAGGTAGTAGTTTCTTAAAGATTATTTACAATGTGAAATATGAAAGAAACTATAGCAATGAATAGTTTATATTTTGTTTCCTCAGAATCTATTGGTCTGTCTTACACTTTGAGTGGATCATTTACTCAGCAATGATTTTGTAACACTGTGCATTGGACATTTGGAAAAATTTATGCAGACCTTTCAAATTTTGATATATTTCATTACCTAATATAAAAAACCCATACTTTTTAATATCACCACCAAGATCATCAGAAACATTTTGAAGCACTGGGAAGCTGTCAAGCTCACAGCAAAAAACATCCTAAATGACAAGTTTTCTTAAAAATTCTAATTTTCACCTGAAGGCTTGTATTTTATCATTGGCTACAATACTGTCAGTTGGTGTCCTTGAAGTGACAGCCTCATTTTGGTTATTTTTGAGAAAATGCCTGCCAAAGACTAAGTGTGAGGTTTGTCAGTCACTCTCTCGATTAAAAATGGTGTTCCATGAAAAAAGTGGCCAGTTCAGTTTGCAACTCTAGGAATTGGAAACATGCATTTTCTTGAGTCAGTCATTATGCACAAGTGTTCAGCGGAAGTGATTTAATCCTGTTTCCCATTTCATCATATATAATATTAAAATGTTCTCAAGGGCCAAGATTTAATGATTTCACGGCTGCCTCAAGGCATTCTAAAGTGAAATGGATTCTTTTTTTTTTTCCCTGTAGTGTATAGTTGTGAAGAACACAATTACTATGAATATTATTTACCTCGATTTGTGCTAAGGCACCATCAGATTTCCTCAGTGTTGCTTTTGCACTGTTAGTGCAAATGTCAACATAGTGAAAAAGATACATAACATCTTATTATCATTATGGAATTAGTTTTCACTTCGAAGATTCCCTGAAAGGGTCTCAGAGACTCCAGGAGTTCACAGATCCCACTGTTAGAACTTCTGCTTCAGCTTACAGTCGATTCTGGAAGCAACAGGACATGCTTCCAAAAAACTCCCCTTCTCTGAAGTCAACCAGAGTTGGTTTTGTTGCCTGTTTACCATGTTAAAAATGTCATTGTTTATGGTTATTTGAATCAAAATGTTTTTAAGGAACTCTAATTAAGGACAATTTTTAAGTAAGCAAATAATTAGAAGGGAAGGGTCTAAAGTTTCACTTTACGAAAAAAATCTAACGTTAATGCTGTCTACATTCCTGATGTTAACATTAAACAATCAAGCATTGCTTAATGACTGACGTAGAACACCAGTCCATGAATTGTGGCAAAATAAGGAAAGCAGAACTAATGTTTTCTCTCTTCTATAAATGCTCCCAGTGGCCTTGAGCTAGGTACTATTGTCTCTGTTTCAGATATTGAAAACCTGGTATTCAGTGGTTAAATGTTTGGCCAAGGCCATTCAGTGTTCAACCTTTTATTCTGGCTAAGAGGCTCAAAGCCCAGGACCTCTTTGCTGTATCGTGCAGGAATTTCTGATGAGTACAAAAACCAGAGGCTGTGATGGATGAGGTTTATGCCTTAGAGAATAGTGCTCCAAAATCATGGAATCAGAGGTGGTTCTTTAAAAATTTTCTTTTATATATTCTATCGTACGGATAGGATGATGCTGACTCTCTACTAATGCAAAATTTTTAACATACCAGAAGGTGGTATTTCAGAGTTAGAAGAGACTTAAATCATGTGATCTATCCATATCTCTTATCAATGGGGCAGCTTGCGTATTTAACATGCATTTCAAATAGTACCTCCTGGATGATGACTTCTAATAATCTGGTTTTTGTCCATCCCCCAAAATCAAAATGTATTGCGCTGTATGTGGCAGGCAGCCTCTGGGATGGCCCCAGTGATCCCTGCTTCCTGATACACCACTGTGTAATTCCTTCTCCTTGAGTGTGGATGAAACTTGTGACTTGCTTCTAACCAATAGACTATGACAAAGGTATGAGAATGTCACTTTCGTAACCAGGATTCCTAAGGCAGTGACTTCTGTCTTCCTAGATGACTCTATTGCTATCTTGACTTGCATACTTTGATGAGGCAAGTTGCTATATTGGAAGGGCCCTATGCCAAGGAACCGAGGGCAGCCTCTGGCCAACTGCCCCAGGGGAACTGAGGCTCCAAACAGCCAGAGCAGGGCTGAATCTGGCCAAAAAATGCTGATTGAGCTTGGACGCAGATCCTTCCCTAGTTGAGCCTTCACAGGAGACCCCAGCCCCAGATGACACCTTGATTGCACTTTTGGGAGAGGCCCTGAAGCAGAGGACCCAGGTAACATATGGTCAGCTTCCTGACCCACAGACTGTGAGACAGTAAATGCATGTTGTTTTAAGCTGCTAGGTTTTAGGGCAATTTGTTATGCTGCAATAGACAATGAATACACTGTACTATATTTGTCTCTTTCTCCAGCAGGACCAGAAGTGGACGGTTTAAGGTCCCTGGGTCCTTGTCATGTGTGTTTAGCTGTTTACCCACCACTGACAAACTTCCTGCCAGGACCCATCTGTAAAAGGGGAAGCCTGAATCCCTGGGAATGGCTCCTAGTGCTTCGGGAAGGGGCTCTGCACCACCCCCCATTAAGGAAGTATTAACTGCCATGGTCACGCTGGTGCAGGTGCTGTGCTGCACATTTCACGTGTTTCACTTAGGCCCTTCGGGCCTCCTGCTAGAACTTCCTTAATTGTCTTTCCCCACCTAAGCATCATTTAGCTTATAAACCAGAGGCAGCAAGCCAATTACCCACTGGAAAAACCTCAGCCAGGCAGCAGGGCATTAACCACACCAACTGGTGTCCCACAGCAAAGGTCTGAATGCAGATTCACATCCCAATCCGGTTCATAAGCAGAGGCGCATGAAATAAACTCCTTTTGAGAAAGAGGGAAATTAGTGGAGATACGGAAATTTTGCGTTGCATAGGACATCGGGCAACCACTCCACTGGTGACTTCAGTATCTGATGTGCAAAACGGGGATCTACTTCCAGGTCCCACAGCCTTTGATTCTTACTCTGACACAATCTGGGTTGCTCTTTGGGTGCTAAATCAACTATCCAATGAGGATCACAGAATACCTGTCTTCAAAGGGGGTTGTAGAATTAAATGAAATAAGTAAAACACGTGAAATGTGCAGCACAGCGCCTACACCAGCGTGACGGTGGCGGTTCGTACTTCTCCACGGGGTCTCAAGTCCCGAGGAACTGGGGTCGCGGGCGGGCGGAGCGCAGCTGGGACCGGGGCCGGCGGCCTGCCCTGCCCACGTGGGGCCGCGGCCCGTCGAATGACTCCTTGCAACGTGTTGTGGTGGCGGTAGCGGTGGCGCGGGCTCTTCCGGGCGCCGCAGCTTCCTGCCAAGCACCGCGCAGCCGCCTGCGCCGCAGGAACCCCCCGTGCAGGCCTCGGCGCTGGTACGGATCCCGGCATTCAGCCGCGCGCGCCCTGCCCGGCCCCGCGCCGTCCCCACCGCACGATGCGCGCGCTGCCGCCGCCCGCGCCGCTCCTGCCGCTGCTGCTGCTCGCGCTCCTGGTCGCTCCCGCGGCCCGCGCCAGCAGAGCCGAGTCCTTGTCCGCGCCGCAGCCCGAACCCGAGCGCGAGTCGCGGCCGCCGCCCGGCCCGGGCCCCGGGAACGCCACCCGGACCGGGTCTGGGGCGGCGGGCGGCGGCGGCAGCTCCAACAGCAGCGGCAACGCCTTGGTGACCCGCATTTCCACCCTCCTCCGCGACCTACCCACCCTCAAGGCAGCCGTGATCGTGGCGTTCGCCTTCACCACCCTCCTCATCGCTTGCCTGCTGCTGCGCGTCTTCAGGTGGGCCCTTCCGCCCTGTTCCTTCCCCCGCCGGCCCACAGGGCGCCATCGCCAACCTGCTGCAGCGCGCGCCCGCCCCACCTGCACGCACAGGTGCCCTGGGCCAGCCGCGCGCCTCCTGCCCTGCCCGGGACGGTGGGTGGGGGGCCGGGGTGCGCTCGTCTGGATTTTCCTGGTACATGTTTTAGGAGTTTTCTTTCCTCTCTTTAACGATATGTATATATCATAACTATTTGCTTCCATTTATTGACTTTCTGCTAATGCTAAACACTAACAAGAGCGCTCTGAATTCTGACAGCGTTTCCCAGAATTTATTTTTATAGTCATTTCACATTTTATAACCACTTCCCAAATTCAGAGAGGCAAAATGGCTCATCCAAGTAAACTCGGTGGTGAAGGTGGGACTTGAACCCAGCCCTGTCTAACTGCAATCTTGCTACTCCCTCTCCCCTCTACCATCTGGAGCTCTCTCACCCGCCCCCCCGCTACTCTTTCTTTTCTTTTCTCTTTTCTTTTTTCTTTTCTTTTCTTTTCTTTTCTTTTCTTTCTTTCCTTTCTTTCTTTCTTTTTCTTTCTCTCTTTCTTTCTCTTTTCTTTCTTTTTCCTTTCTTTCTTTCTTTTTTCTTTTTCTCTCTTTTTCTTTCTTCTTCCTCCTCCTCCTTCTCCTTTCCTTCTTCCTTCTCCTCCTCTTCTTTTTTCCTTTCTTCTTTTTGCTACTGAAAGAAGCAGTTTCTAGCGCTGCGGTGGGAGAATGCCTCCTGGATTACACTGGAGGTGTGCTTTGCACCAGGGATTGGAGCTGGGCTTCAGGATGCTTGGTGACCCTTGGTGACTTCCCTCACTTTCTATTAGTGGGGGACGAAGACAGCTTTCCTAGGCTGCTGCCAAAGTTGCACAGATGAACATTCACAGGGGCATGAGGGATCTCGGAGAGGCTTTTGGGTTGCTCACACTCAGGGATAAAGTGTCCGGTAAATCAGGAAGGATGTCCCAGGTCTTTGAGCCCCGTCCATCCTGGTGGACAGGGCTGTGAGGGATGCGGGGACATTTCCTTTCATGCCTGGGAAATTCTGTTTTTGCAGGAAATGAACCAAACCTGTCCTATTACTGAGGCCCACCCGCCTGGAAATCAGGGTGTGTGTGTGTGTGTCGGCTCTTCACTGCTCCCTCCCTCTGCTTCCAAGCCTACACACTGTGCTTTGGTGTTTGATCAGCTGTGGAAGGTTGGGCTTTGGGGCTGGCCCTCCTGGGTTGCATTTTCAGTGCAGGAGCAGAAACCAGACCAGGAAAAGGCAGAGTTGGGAGCCATCTATGTTGAGCTTGGCTGTCAGTTCTATGGGACTTTGGGTCCAGGTGTTTCCTTCTGTGTCTGTAGGGTTAGATGCCAGTGGTCTGAGAAAAGGGAGAAAGGGGAAGTATGGTCCCACGCTCACCCCACCATTTCCCACCTTGTCTCAGGCCACATCATTCCTCATGCTGCTGGTTTCCTTGATGTTCTCTGGGTTGAAATGCTCCCATCTTCTTCCCATTCTTCCCACTGCCCTCAATTCTCTGTTTACAAACTCTAGCTAGCAGCTCCCTGTGGCCACGACAATACCTGGGTATGGCATTCGGGGCCCTTGCAAGCTGGCCCCAATTCACAATGCAGTCATCAACCAGCACTTCTGAGCCTCGTCCCTTGTCGCTTGCTCCTTTTCTTAGGCTCTGTGGTTTCCCTCTTCTAGCCTAATTCTTGCTTCTATATTCTATGACTGCATGCAGCCACCAAGGCCCAGCTCCCATCCTCCTTCCTCTGTACAGTTTTCCTGGACATTTGAATGAGGCTGTCACTGTCCTTATCCCTAATCTGTGCATCCTTCAGCACAGCCATGCCATGCTGGCTTGCTGCATTGAGTGCCCAGCGTCTGCACTCAGCAGAGAACCCTCAAGCTTGGGAAATCCGGTTCATCTTTGTGTCTCCATGCCTGATGCGGGCCTGCCATTCAGCAGAGGTGCCATTGTCATTTGCTGACTTCCTGATTGCTTGAGTTGGAGTGAACGTTAATGCCGAGAGCAGCTTTGAGTCTGGAGGTTTGAAACGTTTAGCTCAAAATAGGCCATGGACTCCACAAGGCTGTGTATGTTTTTAGAAGGTATTTGAACTATTTTGCTAGTCTGCTGTTTATTACCCAGGAGTAAGGGAAGAAGGCAGCAGGCACCCAGATGTGACGGGTGTGAGCCTTGTGTTTGAGTGGGTTAGCCAGGACTCTGGCCTGAAGAGATGGGTCTTTAGTAGCTTGGGTGTGGTGTGCTGAAAGAAGTTTACGACTTCATGGGAGAAGCCGGTTATGGACACAATCTGCCGCTCTTCCCAGGAAGGCAGCCTTGCTACGGTGAGTTTTCAGGTGGACAGCTGCCACTCCGGATTCTGAGACAGAGGGAGCATTGTAACATTTTACAGCTTGTAAGGGCCCTGATGGTTCACAGTCCCCATGTGCCTCTTTGCAGATGTGAAAGTTGCATCCCAGAGTGGAATAAGTCATTGCTAGATTCTAGAACACTGTAAGTCCGTATGGCCAAGGCAGGGCCAGCACCTCATCTGTGTATTCGGTTGTCTGTACTGTGACCTTTCCCTTCTCCCACGCTCCCCTGTAGCCTTGGTTCATCAGCTCACCAAATGCCTGCTGTGCAGGCTGGGGTCCTCCTTACTTTAGCATGCAGGCACCATAACCTGGAAATTCCACCACCTGCGTCCGGGCACACTATCTTACTTCTGCCCATACCACCTTCCCCTGTGAAACTTCTCCACCTGCCACTGTTTCTACCTGTCTTCTGAATTGCAATAATAGCTCTTAAGCTGGGATTCCTGCCTCCAACCTTTCCCTCTCCAATCCATCCTCCCTCTTCTGCAGGAATGCTGGTTTTAGCTTCCTTTTACCCCTCCCAGCCAATTCTCCCCCTGTACAAACTCCTTAATGTGTGGATAAGGCTGACTCTTAAGACCAGGGTGCTGTCTCCCTCTTGAGCCCCCATTTTGGCTCTGCTCAGTGCACCTCCTGCTTTGCTGGAATTCCAGGGGTTCTCCAGAGGCACTGCATGGCCTGAGCACCTTGTTCCAGTCTAACCCTCTGCCTGGAGTCCCCACTGCCACTAAGACTGCATGGTCAGCTCAGTGCTGTTTGGCCTCATTGCCATTGCCTCCTCTGAGAAGTCTCTCCAGCCAGGGCCCTTCTGTGCTTCCAAAGCACACTCGATTTCTGAATTTCCTCTTCAGAGTCAAGTGTTGCTGAACTTCTTCTGAGCAGGACTAGGCATTAATCTTCTGTGTTTCCCTAATACCTAGTGTGGTTCCAGGCACAAGCTGGCATTTAATAAAGATATTTTTAGCAAAAGAATGTTGAACTCAAGGATTTTACGCAGCTGATGTCTCTCAAAATGTGCTAGGCTAGCTGTATGACTGATGCTGGATACCTGTGAGGTAGGAATTTGTGCAATGTAGATACAGTGTAGTAAGTATGATTGCATATGAAATGGCAGCCCTAGCCTATTTGTCTGTTTTCTCTGAAGGAGTCACCTTATCAGACAACAGAAAGAGTTTGGATCCAAGGAAATTAGAAGCAAAGAATATGTATTTTAATGAAAAAGATGTATTCCATTAATCAAGCAATTCCATTCTTAAAGTATGTACATTTTCCACTGCACCATACATTCTTTGCTTCTAATGTTAATGCTTAGAAGAGAAAGCCAAGATGCAAGTATAATGATATTCAGAGAGGTTCTGTTTGATAGTGAAAAGGTTTAAATACCCCAAGTATTCAACAATTGGGCATCGGTTAATTAAAGTATGAGAATCTCTATGGCAGAATGCTGTGCAGCTGTTAAAAACAATGACATTGAGATAATACTTGCCACATATTTTTGAGTGTGAAACAGGTCACAGAGTGACATGCATAGTATCAGCTCATTTAAATACATTATGAACATGTATATATGAATGTGCAAATAAATTTCTGTGTGCATGTACCTGTGGATGATCATATTATTTTATTATTGGTTGTATGTTTCTGCATAGTTTGAATTCTTTTACAATCCAGAAGCATGTAGTTATGATTTCTCTCCCTGTGTGTATGCTCAGCTCCTGGCTGCACTCTTGGATGTGTTTTTCTGAGTGCCAGTATGAGAGCACCCGGGGTGTACACCTAGGAGTGGGGTTTCTGGGTCCTAGGGGGTGCTCATTCTTGATTGCCTTGAGTAGGCACCAGTGTAGACTTCCATCTGCAGAGCCCGAGGGTTCTCAGATTCTCACATCATATCCAACACTTAGTATTATCTGGCTTTCTAATGCTTTCCAAATATACCAGTGGGTATAATTTAGTACTCATTGCTTTGCTTTGTATTTCCTCTTTTTCTACCAAAGTTGAGCCTCTGTCACTTCCAAATGTGCTCCTTAATCAATCTGATTTCCCCATCTACCGAATCATATCTACCTTTTTTCATGTATTTTATCATTCAGGCAAACCATTTTTAGACAGGAGACAAAACTGTAAGGAGGGAAAGCTGGTTGGAGACCGAGTGTCCTCTGGTGGGTGCTTTCACATGGAGTGAGAGTGGTCCTGTAGGTACCTGGTGGGGCGGACCCTCTAGGTCTGCTACCTGGCAGGTTTATGGAAGCTGAACGGGAATCAACAAAGAGGCTATCTGTAGAAAGAAGAAAGCTGTGATTTCTCCTAAGTTTTTGATATTGGGAAACATCTGGTGATATTGCATGGATTCAGGATAACACACATAAGCCAGTGACTGTGGCATCAGTACCTTTTGCCCCCTGCATTCACTCAGAACACTTTATTGTCTGAATTCTGGAAGGTATCTGATTTTACGATCTGGTGTCTCATGAACAGAGTGGGGGCAAGTCAGGAAAACTCAACCACCTTGAAACCACAAGGTTCCTTTCATCTTGTGGGCCCTTTCCCAGTTGTGGAGAATCTCCCATCTCCATGGCCCAGGTGCCAGTTCTCCCATGT